GTAGCCCAATAAGAAAATTTTACAACATTCTAGATCATAACAAAGGATTTAAATACCAATAACGGGTTGAAAATGTCCACACAAATAAATAATTATAATTTAGCATTTAATTAATATTGGTTTTTATCTGACTTCTGCATAAAAATTTTGTGTTATAATTGAGTAAATGTTATGTAATTCGGCGATCGAATTAGTGAATTATGTTTAATTGTAATTAAATTAGGCTAAAACGATTTCGAATTTTTCATTAATATTTTGTTCTTTTGATGAATACAATTATTGCTAATCAAGAAGTTCTAAGTTACTTTATTGATGCGAAACTTTAATGTAGTGAAATATTATATAATAAAGTATTAATCTCTCGCAAAATGTTTAATTGAAGTATTGAAATATTTTTCAAATCGCTGGAAAAAAACGGACTTACCATTCGAAACAGACGAATTCCAGCAGTTTAAAATTATACGCGCCCCCTGAGGTTAAAAACGAAATTACCTTCGTTCGAATTTAAAAATAAATCTGAAAAACCAAATAAATAAAGTCTGCTTTAAAAAAAAACGGATAAGCTAAGAAATTGTCATTCTATAAAAACAATATTTTTGATAATAAATTATTTATATTCACTTTCACTTCTCTACTCCTCCTTCGGGTTTTTATAAAGATTATAGCCCTAGTTCGCTTTTTCTCCGACTGGCGTCGCTGTATACCTCGGCCTGTTCGTAAAATCTATCGTTCGGGAGTATTCGGATGTTTTCTAGGACGAGTATCCTCTTTTGGCCAATAAATTGGGGACAGAGTTCGTACTAAGTTGATATCCAGTGCTAGACTACGACCCAGATCACGTCCCGCATACTTCGAGCAATATAACCAAAAATGACCCGGTGTCTCTGCTTCCGCACAATGAGGGCAGTCTGGGGTGGGGAGTAAACCCCGCTAGTGAAGGAATGCGTTTAAAGGTGCCGTTTCCGTCCTAAGGCGGGCCAGCAGCGTCTCCGCCCTCCGAGTCGACGCTAAATTGTACGGCCAGGGATCAAAAGGCCGGAGGTGGTCTCTCCCCTTGTTTCTATGTTTCTCCGTTAGTGTGTCCGTATCCAATAGCTCGCAAGGCGATGGATGTCCGCGGGCATGACAGGCTTCCCCATGAGAGTCAATTTTACTTGAATTTCACTTGAATTTATATTTTCTGTATATACGAGACTGGCGGCTAATTACAGAACAATTCCGTAGCCTTAGTTCTGGTTTTTAGCACGAGATACCGTTAGTGTCGCGACGTTCAGGTAGCATATACCTCGTTCTGTACGGTGTGCGTGGAATTTTTTGTCTATATTTCAGCTTTAAAATCATACTTTATCAGTTTGTCCTTCAAATAATGCATTCGATTGTCAGGTGATGCTTATGTTGACGTCTCTATTATTGGTGCCTTTTCGTCGATCAATGCTAATAATTTAAATCGTACATCAATATATCTTTCCACTACTTCTTCACAATCATTTTCTTCAACTGCTGATTGTTCATATGTACCATACATGATTATATTGTTACTTATATTAAGATTATTATTCCACTTATCGTCTAATAACATGATTCTTGTGCTAAGAATAGGAATAGTTGCATTTTGAGCTTCACTACTAAAGGCAAAATTATAATGTCTTCTTATGCTTCGTATAACAACATTACGTTTACTTTTTAGTTGCGAGATGTCCACGATAAATACTAACTTGTATGTGCGAAATGAATTCTTTACTAAACTCATTAATTATTTTGTATTGTGGCTTTCTTTATGTTCAAGAGACCAGAAAATATAGAATTCAGAGAACTTCCCATCTAGAATGTTAAAAAATAAATTAAGATTGTGGTTTAGCACTAAAATTACTTTATTCATTATATTACAAAACTATCTTGCATAACTTACTTTTACTAGAAACTTTTTAGTAATTTTGAAGTAATCCCTGAATGTCAAACGCAGCAATTCTTTACCAAATCTCTTCATAAAATTCAGAACCTACAAAATAATTCACGTTTATTATTAAATCGTAATTCATACATTAATATAACAATTGTTTTAGAAGTAAAGTAACACATTTTCAACAAAGAACCATCAATTTTTTTTTCAATCCTAAATCACAGTTAGCGAATCTTCTTATATCTTGAAAAGATGTTTGCATCTGAAATAATAAAAAGCTACAAATTACAGCAAACCTCAAAATATTACAAATTCTCGTACTTATGGTAAAAATACATTTCAGTAGATGTGAAAACAGAAAGCAGAAATCCATACGCAGTACAGTAGATCGTAAAACCAGAACAGAATGTAAAACATATAATTCTATACCCAAAACCACTTAACGTATAACTGAAAACAAAATAAAATAGACTCGTTTCTATTAACAAAGTGCCGTATAAAATTACTAATACGTAATTGAATGGTCCATTGAGACGATTTGTAAAATTCCACAGTTCGTCGTGTTGTATTATAATTTCTTGTAATTCAAACTTCAAGTTTGGACTGTTCTTTTTTAATAGGTATAAATCTTGCAAAACTTTTTGAAATGCCTTCATTAAAGTATGCATAAGCAAGACAATAAACAGTAAACAGTATATTACTCTACCAACAGGAAAAGTAGCAGCTGTACTAACTTCGATGCAGCAGAAAAGTGGCCCATACGTATAAGATTTTCCGTTTTTCAAATGAGGATACAATAAACAAACTTTTGAAAAACAGTCAATACCGTAAAACCCACAGAAATAATTACTGTATTAAATAATATATTGTCTATAGTAGAAAATAATTGATCTGTAGGAAAACGATACGACTTTCTTAATTTTATCTTCGGATTTAATTTGACTCTTTTGACAATACAGAATATTACAGCCGCAGCCAAGACAATAACGGCAAGGGTCACTCTGAAATATATGTCATACTTGACGACCGCATACCAGGAATAACAAAGCGTTATGTCCGATATATAACGAATTGTTATACAAAGAAGGAAAAAGGAACGCATCCAACAATATACAGTAGAGCGTCGATTTTCCGAATCAATTGGGGACTGGGGTTGTCCGGATAACTGATATTTCGGATAACTGATATTTCGGATAACTGATTTACGTACGAAAAAATAGTTTAACGTATCCTATTTCGAAATTTTTCTTCGTTGCGTGTCGCTTCGCGTTGAATTTTCGTCGATGTTAAGCCTAACAAAGACTATTGTATCGTTAAAAATNTTTTAAAAAAGCGCTTGACAAACTTGCCCCGCTTGCCGAAGTTGCCCCGATCTCCCCTACATCAAATACACGAGAACGTGTTCCCGACAAAGACACGGTAGGCTCCCGCTTTGCTAAACCGAAGCAAGAGCCTACCGTGTATTTGTCAGGATACATCAGCATATGTCCCCATTTTCGCCGTTGCAGGACGATTTTGCTCCGCTTTTTTAAGTCTTATTTTATCAGTTGGTAAACATTAGCACCTTCCTCTCTCTTAGGGTTCTAATCTCTGTGCTGAAAGTGCTAATCTCGCACTCTTTTTTTCGCACATGCAAGGTCATCTTACTGAAGAGGTGCTGGAGGGCAGAACCTACCATCTTCTGACAATAAATATCGGTCCTGACAAGAAGAGCTGCCAGTGATTCCCTCGACTCCTTGCTCACTACTGAGCATTTAAGCTGCATCTCGGTAGTTTCTTCTTCCCTATCGGCAGAGGAAGAGTTTTCTTCTAACTTGCCGAAGCGATTATTTATTTCTGATCCGTACGAGACGTCTCGACTTCGGCTTCTGTTGAGGCAAATTGTCTGGTTGCCCTCACAGTCCTCGAAGCATTGTCCCCAGCCGTAATAAAACAGCGTTCGTCCACGGGGACAGAAGAAGAACATTGTAAGGTCAATAAACGTGAAAGTGACAGGTGTGTACTTGAAAAAATGTTAAAATTAAAAATAATAAATGTTAAAAAGATACTTAATAATGGTAATATAATTAGAGATTAGGTAAAATAGTAAATGAAATTTATAGGTATTATACTCGTTTTGTAGAATTTCTTCTAATGATGATCTGTAAGATGTCTATCGGAAATATATTTAGCCTGTCAAAAATAGGAATGTTCATATCTTGAATAAAAAAACTCTAAAAACGAAATACTAGATGCAATAAATGACATTCATCTACTAAAAGTTCCTGAACTACAACAACTACCAAAAAGATTTTATCGGTTTTTTCAAATGCTATTTTTGTGATATATTTTATTATCCTTTTAAAATTCGAAATTTTTGTAAAGAGTTTAGTTTAAAAAAGATAATATTTATACGAAAAAAAATACATGAAAAGCATGTCAAATATTTTAAAAACAATTCACTTGTTAAAATTAGATTATAAGTTATATTAAATTGTTTTAGAAAACGAATTAATCAATTATTTAATAAAAATATAGCTAATACACAGAGTGCGAAAGTGAAACGACAAATAACACATAAAAATGTGTTAATGTTAAATTTGATAATTAAAATATATACGTACCGCGAAATTCACTTGTCTGTTTTGTCAATTAACTTCCAGAAAAAATTCAATACTGTAAACAAAAAAATGTTATAAAAATATTAAAAAATAATGCATTTAATAAAAAAAATTATATTCATTTAACGAATCTATCATATTCCAAACATTTTTATACATATTAAAAATTATAGTTAAACTCAGATAAACTGTAAAAATATGTCAGGCGAAACAGCTTTTCTCCTATCATATTATTTACACTATATCTTAATATATTGTTAGATAAGATTGATAATAAAAAAATATTGATTTAATTCATTTCAGTTATTCCGGAAACGAAAAAGTATGTAAAATATGTTAATGATGCAGATAGAAAAAATTTCTTTATTATACATAGTGCATCCGTGACTGAAAAACTTGTAATAAAAATCATTTTCGTAAATTAACAAAAAACCAAATTTACATAAATATATATAAGAATATCTTTAAAAATATACGAATAAAATTGAATTATCTATTCACCTGTGAACGAGACGGCTTTTATAAAACATATCTTCGCTTGGTTTTCACGTCTGCGGCCACAAGCTAGCCATCGCCTGTTAGAAGAACAGCATTTAAATAAATATATATAAGAATATCTTTAAAAATATACGAATAAAATTGAATTATCTATTCACCTGTGAACGAGACGGCTTTTATAAAACATATCTTCGCTTGGTTTTCACGTCTGCGGCCACAAGCTAGCCATCGCCTGTTAGAAGAACAGCATTTAAATAAATATATATAAGAATATCTTTAAAAATATACGAATAAAATTGAATTATCTATTCACCTGTGAACGAGACGGCTTTTATAAAACATATCTTCGCTTGGTTTTCACGTCTGCGGCCACAAGCTAGCCATCGCCTGTTAGAAGAACAGCATTTAAATAAATATATATAAGAATATCTTTAAAAATATACGAATAAAATTGAATTATCTATTCACCTGTGAACGAGACGGCTTTTATAAAACATATCTTCGCTTGGTTTTCACGTCTGCGGCCACAAGCTAGCCATCGCCTGTTAGAAGAACAGCATTTAAATAAATATATATAAGAATATCTTTAAAAATATACGAATAAAATTGAATTATCTATTCACCTGTGAACGAGACGGCTTTTATAAAACATATCTTCGCTTGGTTTTCACGTCTGCGGCCACAAGCTAGCCATCGCCTGTTAGAAGAACAGCATTTAAATAAATATATATAAGAATATCTTTAAAAATATACGAATAAAATTGAATTATCTATTCACCTGTGAACGAGACGGCTTTTATAAAACATATCTTCGCTTGGTTTTCACGTCTGCGGCCACAAGCTAGCCATCGCCTGTTAGAAGAACAGCATTTAAATAAATATATATAAGAATATCTTTAAAAATATACGAATAAAATTGAATTATCTATTCACCTGTGAACGAGACGGCTTTTATAAAACATATCTTCGCTTGGTTTTCACGTCTGCGGCCACAAGCTAGCCATCGCCTGTTAGAAGAACAGCATTTAAATAAATATATATAAGAATATCTTTAAAAATATACGAATAAAATTGAATTATCTATTCACCTGTGAACGAGACGGCTTTTATAAAACATATCTTCGCTTGGTTTTCACGTCTGCGGCCACAAGCTAGCCATCGCCTGTTAGAAGAACAGCATTTAAATAAATATATATAAGAATATCTTTAAAAATATACGAATAAAATTGAATTATCTATTCACCTGTGAACGAGACGGCTTTTATAAAACATATCTTCGCTTGGTTTTCACGTCTGCGGCCACAAGCTAGCCATCGCCTGTTAGAAGAACAGCATTTAAATAAATATATATAAGAATATCTTTAAAAATATACGAATAAAATTGAATTATCTATTCACCTGTGAACGAGACGGCTTTTATAAAACATATCTTCGCTTGGTTTTCACGTCTGCGGCCACAAGCTAGCCATCGCCTGTTAGAAGAACAGCATTTAAATAAATATATATAAGAATATCTTTAAAAATATACGAATAAAATTGAATTATCTATTCACCTGTGAACGAGACGGCTTTTATAAAACATATCTTCGCTTGGTTTTCACGTCTGCGGCCACAAGCTAGCCATCGCCTGTTAGAAGAACAGCATTTAAATAAATATATATAAGAATATCTTTAAAAATATACGAATAAAATTGAATTATCTATTCACCTGTGAACGAGACGGCTTTTATAAAACATATCTTCGCTTGGTTTTCACGTCTGCGGCCACAAGCTAGCCATCGCCTGTTAGAAGAACAGCATTTAAATAAATATATATAAGAATATCTTTAAAAATATACGAATAAAATTGAATTATCTATTCACCTGTGAACGAGACGGCTTTTATAAAACATATCTTCGCTTGGTTTTCACGTCTGCGGCCACAAGCTAGCCATCGCCTGTTAGAAGAACAGCATTTAAATAAATATATATAAGAATATCTTTAAAAATATACGAATAAAATTGAATTATCTATTCACCTGTGAACGAGACGGCTTTTATAAAACATATCTTCGCTTGGTTTTCACGTCTGCGGCCACAAGCTAGCCATCGCCTGTTAGAAGAACAGCATTTAAATAAATATATATAAGAATATCTTTAAAAATATACGAATAAAATTGAATTATCTATTCACCTGTGAACGAGACGGCTTTTATAAAACATATCTTCGCTTGGTTTTCACGTCTGCGGCCACAAGCTAGCCATCGCCTGTTAGAAGAACAGCATTTAAATAAATATATATAAGAATATCTTTAAAAATATACGAATAAAATTGAATTATCTATTCACCTGTGAACGAGACGGCTTTTATAAAACATATCTTCGCTTGGTTTTCACGTCTGCGGCCACAAGCTAGCCATCGCCTGTTAGAAGAACAGCATTTAAATAAATATATATAAGAATATCTTTAAAAATATACGAATAAAATTGAATTATCTATTCACCTGTGAACGAGACGGCTTTTATAAAACATATCTTCGCTTGGTTTTCACGTCTGCGGCCACAAGCTAGCCATCGCCTGTTAGAAGAACAGCATTTAAATAAATATATATAAGAATATCTTTAAAAATATACGAATAAAATTGAATTATCTATTCACCTGTGAACGAGACGGCTTTTATAAAACATATCTTCGCTTGGTTTTCACGTCTGCGGCCACAAGCTAGCCATCGCCTGTTAGAAGAACAGCATTTAAATAAATATATATAAGAATATCTTTAAAAATATACGAATAAAATTGAATTATCTATTCACCTGTGAACGAGACGGCTTTTATAAAACATATCTTCGCTTGGTTTTCACGTCTGCGGCCACAAGCTAGCCATCGCCTGTTAGAAGAACAGCATTTAAATAAATATATATAAGAATATCTTTAAAAATATACGAATAAAATTGAATTATCTATTCACCTGTGAACGAGACGGCTTTTATAAAACATATCTTCGCTTGGTTTTCACGTCTGCGGCCACAAGCTAGCCATCGCCTGTTAGAAGAACAGCATTTAAATAAATATATATAAGAATATCTTTAAAAATATACGAATAAAATTGAATTATCTATTCACCTGTGAACGAGACGGCTTTTATAAAACATATCTTCGCTTGGTTTTCACGTCTGCGGCCACAAGCTAGCCATCGCCTGTTAGAAGAACAGCATTTAAATAAATATATATAAGAATATCTTTAAAAATATACGAATAAAATTGAATTATCTATTCACCTGTGAACGAGACGGCTTTTATAAAACATATCTTCGCTTGGTTTTCACGTCTGCGGCCACAAGCTAGCCATCGCCTGTTAGAAGAACAGCATTTAAATAAATATATATAAGAATATCTTTAAAAATATACGAATAAAATTGAATTATCTATTCACCTGTGAACGAGACGGCTTTTATAAAACATATCTTCGCTTGGTTTTCACGTCTGCGGCCACAAGCTAGCCATCGCCTGTTAGAAGAACAGCATTTAAATAAATATATATAAGAATATCTTTAAAAATATACGAATAAAATTGAATTATCTATTCACCTGTGAACGAGACGGCTTTTATAAAACATATCTTCGCTTGGTTTTCACGTCTGCGGCCACAAGCTAGCCATCGCCTGTTAGAAGAACAGCATTTAAATAAATATATATAAGAATATCTTTAAAAATATACGAATAAAATTGAATTATCTATTCACCTGTGAACGAGACGGCTTTTATAAAACATATCTTCGCTTGGTTTTCACGTCTGCGGCCACAAGCTAGCCATCGCCTGTTAGAAGAACAGCATTTAAATAAATATATATAAGAATATCTTTAAAAATATACGAATAAAATTGAATTATCTATTCACCTGTGAACGAGACGGCTTTTATAAAACATATCTTCGCTTGGTTTTCACGTCTGCGGCCACAAGCTAGCCATCGCCTGTTAGAAGAACAGCATTTAAATAAATATATATAAGAATATCTTTAAAAATATACGAATAAAATTGAATTATCTATTCACCTGTGAACGAGACGGCTTTTATAAAACATATCTTCGCTTGGTTTTCACGTCTGCGGCCACAAGCTAGCCATCGCCTGTTAGAAGAACAGCATTTAAATAAATATATATAAGAATATCTTTAAAAATATACGAATAAAATTGAATTATCTATTCACCTGTGAACGAGACGGCTTTTATAAAACATATCTTCGCTTGGTTTTCACGTCTGCGGCCACAAGCTAGCCATCGCCTGTTAGAAGAACAGCATTTAAATAAATATATATAAGAATATCTTTAAAAATATACGAATAAAATTGAATTATCTATTCACCTGTGAACGAGACGGCTTTTATAAAACATATCTTCGCTTGGTTTTCACGTCTGCGGCCACAAGCTAGCCATCGCCTGTTAGAAGAACAGCATTTAAATAAATATATATAAGAATATCTTTAAAAATATACGAATAAAATTGAATTATCTATTCACCTGTGAACGAGACGGCTTTTATAAAACATATCTTCGCTTGGTTTTCACGTCTGCGGCCACAAGCTAGCCATCGCCTGTTAGAAGAACAGCATTTAAATAAATATATATAAGAATATCTTTAAAAATATACGAATAAAATTGAATTATCTATTCACCTGTGAACGAGACGGCTTTTATAAAACATATCTTCGCTTGGTTTTCACGTCTGCGGCCACAAGCTAGCCATCGCCTGTTAGAAGAACAGCATTTAAATAAATATATATAAGAATATCTTTAAAAATATACGAATAAAATTGAATTATCTATTCACCTGTGAACGAGACGGCTTTTATAAAACATATCTTCGCTTGGTTTTCACGTCTGCGGCCACAAGCTAGCCATCGCCTGTTAGAAGAACAGCATTTAAATAAATATATATAAGAATATCTTTAAAAATATACGAATAAAATTGAATTATCTATTCACCTGTGAACNTGAATCACGTGAAATATTTGAGTAGCCCAAGACTAGATTAGCCAAAGATTAAAGCGCCACAGCACTGGCGAAAATTTAAATTTGCCGACTGGAATTCTTTCGGATGATTGACTTTCGGAAAATCGACGCTCTACTGTATTTCAATGCAGGAAATGTAAAAGTTCATAAATTTCTGCAAGTAAGTGTTGGATTTCGCTTTACAGAAGAAAGACATAGAAAAGTCCAGCCCGTACACCATTGAGACTGACGTAAACGAAGATAGTAAACATCACATACATATATGCTTCTTCAAACTTAAAACTGTACGTCTTGAAAACATTTTTATTATATTTATTAATTTCAACTGTTAATATGAATAGTGATAATCGAATTAAGAATAATTAATCAAGGTTATCTGCAATAACTTCGATGTAGAACAGAAAACTGAGTGTCAGCTTTTTAATCACAGTATTTATGGGCACTTCAGTGTGTGCAATAATATTTTGATTTCTTTCTTACATAAGTATCAATCTATTGTTCTATTTTACTCGCACAGATAAGATTTTTAGATTAAAGAGCGCTCGAAATGAAAGTATATAATGCTCGCGAAATAATAAATTGTTGTAATTATATTAACGTCCTGGACAATGACCTTGCAGATCATTTTTGAGTTCAGTTGGAGTTAATAAAATATCAAAAAATAAGTAATAAGACATATANTTTTTTACATAAGTATCAATCTATTGTTCTATTTTACTCGCACAGATAAGATTTTTAGATTGAAGTGTGCTCGAAATTAAAGTATATAATGCTCGCGAAATAATAAATTGTTGTAATTATATTAATATAATGTAAAAATTAATAATATTGTAATTAATAATTGATTAATATATAGAAAAATGTCGTAAAGCGTGATGTCGTACCATAAAGATGCCGTTAAGTTTCACATTTTACTGACGATGCATAGATTTATTTTTAGAAACATCAGTTTTGAAAAAATTTAGATTTAGATACTAAACGTTAAATCATTTTCTTATTAGTCAACGTTTACATAAGTTAATTGCTTTCACAGAATTAGTATTGAAGTCTAATGTTTAGTCTAACACATTCCTAGTGTCACTAGACCTAACTCAGGAAATGGAAAACTGTGCTTCTAATATTCAAAAAATAAAGAAGTATCAAATGCCACTCGCTGCAATGAATAACCTGCTTTGCATATATTTTGCTCAAGGACCGTACATACTGCGTATTCTATGATAAAATTGTGCTTTTATATTCAAGAACATTAGACTAAAATGTTCGTTACAGTAAAAAATGCTCTAAACATGGGTGACATTACTTTTATTTGCAATTTTTGTTTTTTTTTATGCGTAACAAAATTATATTGTTATTTAACCATGCCATTAGAATTATTATTAATATTATTATTCCTTACGTTTAAAACATATCAAACAAGAGATTGACGATTTATTTCTAGAGTATTTCTAGATAGTCTTGAAGAAACTGTATTCTTTGTTTACTGAATGTGTCTACAAAGCATATTTCTTTCCGCGCAAGTTTAATTAAATGAATTTATACAACAATTTTCATTTAGAGTGACATTAGCTTTAAAAATAAATTGTTTCGTGAAATGATATATATACTTGGTCTTAAATTGTTGCAATTATCTTATATACAAGGTTATGTTAAGCATTTATTCTGCCACTTTATTTACACTCAGAGATATACATATAAAATGAAAAATACTATTAATCTGCATTAAAACAGGCCTGTAATCGAGCTTCCATCATGACCATGATCGGGTATGCCCTTCCATTAATACAGCATACAAAATAATGTACATAATGAAAAATTATTAATTTCTTGGAATACAGTTTTGGATTTTCCTCTAAATACTTAGGAAAATGTGGATGATGTCTCAAACAAACTAAAAAATCCCACGCTGTTATATTTATGCAACTAAATATAACAGCGTGAGGTGTTAACGTTTAAAAATATTTTTACTCACATCTTCTATCAATTTATATAATTTTCCTATTAATTAACATTTTACGTTTTTATTTATGTTAATGTATTGATAATAACAAGAATAATGTGAAAGCTAAAGAATTTTCCGGCTGTTATATAAAACAGAACCAAAGAATGCCAATCGGTCAGAAAATGATCTCCCAAGATTTCTTCGTATTTTTGAACCAGAGGAGCTTGAAACTTCGAAAAATGCAAAAAAAAGTCGGGAGTAATTTCTGTTTTTACGGTGTTAGTATGTGTGTGGCACGTTTTGTTTACCCTCTTTGATGCTTAATAACTCCTGTGCTTTTTGTCGAAAATTTCTGAAATTTCGCAGGAAGGTTTGTTTATTAGGGGGGATTGATGAAATTAAATTTTAATGGTTTAAACTCGCGGTTTTGAGAAAATAAAGGTGGTCGTGTGTTATATCTCGAGTAGGGTAAAACTTAATAACGATTTTACCCTACTCGAGATGTGCAAGAATTTATCGAGAAGCACCATCCTAACAATGTTATGGCTAATAGGGTGATTAATTTAATGAACGACACTGAGATTCCTATTTCAAGCATTAAGCTCTGTAGAAATAAAGGTATGTACTGTACAGTGCTACTTTATTAAATAAAGTTTACATATTTGTTGCTGTAATGATAGATACTACGTTTTCTTAAATTTTTATCAAAGAAAACCCATTTTACAAATAAAATTAGAAAAATACTGATAGATAAAACGAATTAATTTTATTTCCATTCATTTCTATGAGAAAAATTGCTTCGGTTAACAAACAATTCGGTTAACGAACGGACTCGTGGAACGGATTACTTTCGTTAACCGGGGTTCCACTGTATTAAGAAATCGTTGTTTAGGCTTATTCAATACGTAGTATTTTCTGTAGATAAAGAGTGATCATATCTATGAGTAGCCGGCAGAGTGCGCTTGCATTTAATATAAATAAGATGTTTTTGAAAAATAAACGATTAGTGAATATTCATTATGATAATAACCGTCGTCGGGTCAAAAAATTTACCAGCGGCACTGTATATTAGATTTGAAAATATTTATTTATGGTAAATCTTTAATGAAATATTATTCCAAGTAAATAGAATTAGAGTAAAATATCATTGGAATTTTGACGCTTAATTCCACGATCAAAATAACGGCAAAAATGGAAGTTTCTTTCATTTGGAATTACAGACGGCGCCACTGGGTTTATTCAAATTTGAAGTGTTCAGTTACAACGTAATCGTTAAAAGAGGGATAAGAAAGAAGACGAGAGATATTTTGTGTTATTAATTTATTTTGGAGTGAGCAATTGTTCCGAGGAGAAATGGAAGTTTTCGGCCATTCAAAGGTAAAACTTTATAATTGGTCCGTCGGGCGCTGTTTTAATTTATTGATTAAAAGACAATGTAACAAGTTGGTTATTATTGCAATTGTGATAATTCTTCGATACGCCTACAAAAGTATTTCGAAAGTTTTTAAAAAAATCCGTAACGGGTTTAAATGCGGAGTGTTTTCTTGACTGAATTATTATTTCTACAGAACGGAGTTAGATGAAAGACGAGAGCAACTATAGAATCGTTAGAAGCAGCGGGATGCCCCGATTACCTGTACGTGAAATTCCGCTGCAAATCGGAAGTCACGCTATGGTTGTTTTTAAAATTTCAAATTCTTCAATCAAAGCTGTGAAATATGAAAATAAAAGGAAAGGATCGTCGTAAAATACAGTATTATATGAACTACTTGTTTTTGAACATTGCAGATAAAACTATTTTAAATATCCTATTAATAATTACTCAATGCATTTCACATTTATATGTATTCCTGTTTAAGAAAATTAACTTAAAAACGTTTATTTTTCAGATCTTGAACCCAGCTTGAATTTTGTAGCGTGACATGTCGAAGAAAGAATTTCTAAAATTATTTAATTTGAAATATTTCATTTGTTTTATAAAATAATGTATGACGTCATTCTCGTATCTGATTTCATNAGCGTGACATGTCGAAGAAAGAATTTCTAAAATTATTTAATTTGAAATATTTCATTTGTTTTATAAAATAATGTATGACGTCATTCTCGTATCTGATTTCAAAACTTCATTTTCAGATTTACTATTAAACAATAAAGAGAAGAGAAACGAATGAAGAATTGTTTCCAGGAAAAAGGATGAGTCGAGGAATGCGTTTAACTTCTGTTTACAGAAGACTTAATTGAAGGCAGTGATAAGAAATTATACGAGAATATGAAGAAGGAAGAATATATATCAAGCAAATGAAGAGAAACAGAAATGAAATGAAGAAGATATTTTAAATAATTTTCAAATATGTTATTTTTTAAAATACTCTTCATATAAGTTGTTTTGAGATAAATGTATAAAGTACATTAATTTGTGATAGTATGTGTATACTGCTTGGAAATATTTGCAAATACTGGTGTAAGCAGTTTACGTATGATTTATTGTTTGATGTGGGGTGGTCCAGTTAGTTGTAAGGTATCAATTTTCGTTTAAAGAATGTTGCTAGAAAGAAAATTCTTTTTCTATCTGCACACACACTCTAACAATACTTTAAAATCAGCGATTAATTTTAGATATTTACATATTCGATTAGCAATGAAGTGAAGAGAGTTTCGGTTTTAATGCTCTTATGATATTTTACAGGTTTAAACAATCAGAAGTTAAGAAATGGGAAGTATCGGTGTGGCAGTTGCGAGAAAGAATACGTTTCGAAAAATGGGTTAAAATATCATCGAAGGATTTACACTGGAGAGAAACTCTTTGCCTGTGATCATTGCAAACAACGTTTTGCACGTAAAGGAGATCTGATTCGACATCTTCGAATTCACACGGGGGAGAAGCCATTTTCTTGCGACCATTGCAAACGAAGTTTTACGCAAAAACATCATCTGATAGGACATCTTCGTCTTCACACCGGAGAGAAACCATTCTCGTGTAATCATTGCTCAGAAAAATTTCGTTTTAAATGTTCTTTAAAGGATCATATTATTAAACATCATAATAGTAATGAATAATGACTATTATCGGAATGATTTTAGTACATTTCTTCGAAAAATATGTAATACTCGTATTTTAGATTTTATTGAACATGAAACAAGAAATTTTTAAAGTTTGATTTTCTTGGTTTTGTAACTTTCATTTTGTACATAAAACAGTTGATTTTATGTACCGAAAAAAAGATGGTTTGTAAAATTAATTTAAATTTTATTGATTAAAAAGTAATATGGTTATTTTTACTTGTTTAAGTACGAGTCATTTATTTAGGGCGATAACATTCAATTCTATTATTTACGGAGAGTTGGTTTATTGTTAGAATAAGTGTATTCAGAAACATGACAAGTAATCTTGTTCACACAAAGGTCAATTATTGTCACTCGCTTTATTGGCAGATTTGAAAGAGATTAGAATAAGTGAATTTTACCGTAAACTTCGTTTTTTTTAAATTAATAAACAGTAAACATGTTTAATAACGAAAACTTTTCATTTGAAAAATAGATATATCACACAAACAACCAACTTTTAAACGTTGTATACACATTAAAGTGAAATAGTTACGAGTTAAACATTGCGGGACATAACTTATTACGTGTCATTTTTGTTTGAGGTAAATTTTACATTATATTGCATTAAAGTGATTTTTCCTTACGAACAGTTTCAATTTCAGTGAAAATAAAAACTGATGGAAAGGAGTATACTTTCTAACAGTTTTAATAGTTATGTGAGATAAGCAGTGGGTCAGGGGTTAATATGATACTGACCACTTAATCTGCACAGGCTGGTAAAGCCCGATCTCGGAGTCGTTCGGATGGCTAGGAGGGCAATCGAGTGGGGAGTGCGTCGGTAAGTCGACAGGTTTTCTCGGATAGACAGGAGACAGGTTTAACAAATAACAAAATAAATGTTTATTCTATAACTAAAGTAATTTACAGGAGTATACAAGTTACTGATTATTGCCTAGATGCGGAAATACAAATATATCTATAATCGCTCTAACTATTCACTATGCCTCGTGAGAGAGTTTAAAAAGGCTCTAGAGTGAGAGAGTTATATTGGCGGTCAATTATACCTTAGGTTGGAGGACGATATGCGATAATCCTGGACTATGGAAGCTGGCTGTCTGTCACGGGCTTATATCTTCTACCGGCTTCTGCTTGGACAGGATCGGGACGGAAGACACTGTATTCAAACCTTCCAGATGATCGCTCGGAGAGAAGGTCGCACTGAAGGGACGATCGCCCCGAACTTCCCGCGATGATTTTTTTTATACGATCGTCGTTGACAGGCACTGAGCCAACAGGTCGTTCACTCGTTATGTTGACTAATTAACAAACGGACGATGTGTAAGATTCGCCATTCGATCTATTTCCGCTATAACGTGTGATATATTTTTTCCATTCTCTAATGTTAAACTCAAAAATTTACGCCCTGTAAATTCCCGGGCTCACACTTATGAAATGCGTCAATGTGATAATTCCTCGAAAATAACTGTCTAAACCGGGTTCATATTAAAAAATTGAGTTTGATCTTTTAATTTTTGTTTTTTGTTTTTTGTTTTTTTTTTCGTTTCTCTCTCAGGTCGTACGTACTTTTTAACAGCCAGGAATTTGGATCTAAAGGCTGTTTTCTTTCTGGATATCGCCAAATACTTTTAATGGCAGCTTCAGGAATTCGTCGAGTCATCGTTGAATTACCTTCTGCATCTGCTCCCGTATCGGTCGAATTCACTACTTTAATTTCTGCAGGACTATCGTTTCCAACTAATTCTTTCGAACTAATAGCGTTTTCTATGGAAACGGTCTGATTCGGAACTTTTTCTGTTAGAAAATTATTGAAATTTTGATCCGAACATTTTGCGCCCTGTGATTTTAACGAAATTCCTTTTTTTTTCGTGGCAAAATTATATTACTTTTCGCGTAACAGTTTTTTGCATGAATCTTTAATTTTACTTATTACCACAATTCGTTCTTCCTTCTTTTGTTTCGTTCCTGGAGTTTGGTTTCTCTAAGCCATTTGCACTTTTGAATTTGCATTTTCTGTGGGTGCTTCGATGATTTCCTAATCCGGCTTTTGTATCGTTTTTTCTCCATTTAAACACATTGCTAAAAGAGATAGTTCAGATGATTTTGAAACCACAGTATTTCTTGTCTGTACTTTATCGAAACGGTGTTCAGTGTCTTCAGAATGAATCCTCACTACTGCAATTGCTCCATGAATTTTTCTGATTGGATCCACAGTTTCCATTTTTACTGTTTTTTCCGAATAAATTCTAGTATTGTTTACGGGTTTGGTTGTAGTTTTGTCGGAAATAACAAAAAGAGATTTTATGTGTTTTAAATATGTTTGTATATCCATAATTGACTTGGATATCCCAAAGAATGAAAAAATTTCCGACGATTTTCATCCGAGAGAGTTATTTATATTTATTTTCATGAACTAAACCTCGGATTTCAGGTCATTCAGCTCTTCTTGAAATCTCCTCTGATTTTGTGTCAAGAAGCGAAATGTCGAAAATAGGTAGTACCAATAATTATTTCTGTTACCCATCTAAATGCAAGATAACTTGCAGATGTGTAAAAATATTCAAGCCTATCATATCCCCATGATAGACTTGAATATTTTTCTTTGTGGCTTCGGAAATTCTATAATAATTATTTTTATAAAATTTTCTTAAAGCTTATTCTACATTTGTTTAATCTACACGTTTATTTTCTTACGTAAACAAAAGTGTATTCGTATAAGCAGTATTTTATTTTTAATACGATGTAATATATTAATTTCGATTTGTAATTTTTAAAAATGATCTGTTTAGCAATCTTCCTCCTGTCTTTTTCAAACATTACAAATAATTAAAATTCTGAAAATTTTAATCAGGAATATTCTAAACGTAAGGTTGTAGCTAGGGATTGCAATTGCTGGATCCCTCATCCAGCAATACAGCTGGATCCAGCACATTTTTCGGCCTGTTGGATCCAGCACCAGGTGCTGGATCCAGCGCTGCGGATCCGCAAATACTCAATTAACTTTCTAAATAATGGCGCAAAAGTCTACGTTGTCGGCCTTGCCACTTTGCTACGTGTGCTATCACTCGGCGGCGAGAGCGACGTTGCCGATCAGTGCGGCATGTGCTACACCCCCTCTCTACACCGCACCGCCCGCCCTTTCACCTCTGCTGATCTAATTGCCAGTTGAATTACCGCTCTCGCTAAATAAAGTGTCTTTGCGCTAAATATAATAAGTAACTCCTATCCTAGCCCTGGTGCATAATTCTAATTTTCGGTCGGTTGTAACGTCAATGAAACACGTGACGGAACAATCGCAGTTTAAACTGGCCGAAGAATCTCTCTGCAGAAGAATCGAGTTTGATAACTGCTGACACAACCCTGAAATTTGTCTTAGACAAACTAAAAAGCCAGGACACAATCTTGAGTGCCAACCTTTCCGAGGCACTCCACAAAAGAATCAGAGAACGGCGTCTTACTGAGGTCAAGGGATGTTGATTTACATACAGAACCCAAAGAAGTATGACCAAAAAGTTAGAAAGCTTTATCTTTCACGTGCCGAAAAAAATGTAATGCGCCAGGAGATGAAAAATATGCTGAATCATGTAAATACATATGTAGTGGAACCAGCAGCAATGGCAGAGGATATTACGGAGGTGGAAAACAATGATCCAGATAACTCAGATTTCCTGAATTTCACATTGGAACAAAAATTAGAGATCCAACTAAAGCGTGAGAAAGAAAACTTCATGAAACGGAAAAAAAACTAGTACTGAGAAGGATTATAAGTTATTAAAAAAGGAAATGGCTGTTTATGAAAGTGAGGGAGTCAAAGGTGAAAACTTATCTTTGATATATCATTATTTGATGACACTGAAACCAACTAGCGTAGAGGCAGAAAAAGCCTTCTTCGCAGCGGGATATATATGCAGTTCATTAAGAAGTAGGTTGAGAGACAACACCATCAATATCATTTGTTTCTTGAAATCCTACTTTTAGAAAAGTCAAAAAAATAACAGAAGTGATTGATTTAATTTTTTTTAATCCTTTAAAATACTTTATTCAAGACAAGACTAATATTTTATAACTTCTACTCTAATTCTATTAAGTAAGACTTTTTAACTTTTATTCTAAAAGTGAAATTATTATTACAATTATAATCTAACTAAACATTTAAAGTTAATTATTTCTCTCAAGTGTTTAACCGAACCAAAGTTACTACCTAACTGTGTAAGAAGTTTTACTGATTTTTAGTGACTAGTCTAAATAATAAAAGTTTCTTAAGTATTTAAAAAAATGTTTTATTTCTTTAAAAAAAAAACCCATAAATTTCTGGATAGATAGATAGATAGACAGCACTTTATTGCACCAAAAAACATCCGCTCATCATTCCAGCTGGATCCAGCGCGGATCCAGCTGGAATGGTGTTGGTCCAGCAAAAATCCAGCTGGATTAAAAACACTGCTGGATTGCAATCCCAAGTTGTAGCCCATAATCATTGTTAGTATTTTAGTTTTTACATTAATTAATTAGCAAAATTATATTACAAGTACATTCGGAAGATGCCGATCTTGCCTTAGGAAATACCGATCTATTCGGTGGCGATATTATTGAAGATCTCGATGATGTAAGTAATTATAGAAA